CCCACCGCCCCACGTCGCCCCATGCGCGCGGGGGCCAATCAGCGCCGCCCCGCAGCCTGGGCAGGTGCTGGCTCCAGCTTCTCCAGGTGAATGGGCCGGGCGGGGCCCACCTCCTCTACCTGCCGGGGCTCACGGAGTCTGCGCCCCTGCCCGGCCACCACCTCACCCATCCAGTTCTCGGTGAGTGCCCTCTCCTGGAAAGGTTAACCTGAGCCAGCTCTGAGCTCTCCCCTCCCTCCCTCCCTCCCTCCCTCCTTTCCTTGCTTCCTTGCTTCCTTCCTTCCTTCCTTCCTTCCTTCCTTTTCCCTTTCCTCTAAGACTCAATTGCTCATCCCTTTCAAAGCTCATCCCTGGCAAAGCTGTCCAGGAGGCAAATGCAGGAGATAGAAAGCGGCTTGCTGAGGAAAGAGGCATCATGACCAAAGACTCCAAGGGGTGACTGCCATCTCCCCCACCCCCACCCAGTTGCCTTTATCTGACTCTGAGACTTCTGACACCGGTGATGTCTGTGTTACGGGACATTAATTAGCTAAGGTCTGTTGAGTACTTCTAAAAGGACAGACAAGCTGCAATTAAGATATTATCTTAGTTCATCTCCCCAGGGGGTTGGACGCGGTTCTCAGCTGGCCGAGGACAGTGAGGCCCAGGTGTGGTTGACACAACTGGTAAGTGACAGCCAGGAAGCCACACTGTACGTGTAACTAGGATGTCTTTCCCTCTTTCTTAATCTGTAATGGACCAGTTGGCATCCAACTGAAAGCCAAAGGAGGGCATTCCATTTTAGTAGTGACTGCCCCGCTGCTTTGTTTCAAAGGCTCTTGTCAAAACCCCCTCCCATTTATTTATGTATTCATCCAACAAACGTGGTTTGAGCCCTTGTTCAGACCAATATCCCTGCCTTTGGGCAGCTGGTGGAAAATGGAAATAAATGATACATACCTGAAGATCAGAAAAAAAGGGAAAACTGAAGTGAGGGCGCAGGGCGGGGGGAGTATATAGAGGGAAAAAAGAGCAAGCTACAATGTGAAAGGAGTTTTCGAGGTGGAGGGACAGCACTTAAATGATTCCAAGGCTGCAGCTGACAAAGGTGGAGAGCAGATGGGTGGCCAAGAGGAGAAGGAAAGGTAGACCGTGAGGTCCCAGTGGGGCCGGGGACAGGGCATGGTCATTACAAACACTGCTTTCACTCCAGCGCCATGCAAGGTCACTGGAGAGGTGGCCCGCTTCACAGGACCAGGCTGTTGTGTGCTACGAAGACCCAGAAGACCCTGGGTGGAAATAGATATTCCAGAGATCTGTTTGAGAGCTGATGTTGGAACTGAGCTCTGGAGATAGAGAGGAGCTTGGGTTTGTGTGTATGATGGAGCTGGAGTCCACAGGACATGGTGATGGACGAGGCCCGGCTTGGGAAGAAGAGTCAAAGCTGGCTTGAAGGTGGGACCACAGTGAAAGAAATGAGCGGCCATCGCCTGAGACAGGAAATGCCAGCAAGGGAGCTCCGCGCCTGGGATTTAGAATCCAGTGCTGTTTCTCAGAGATCGGGAGGGTGCAAGTCATCTGCTATAAGATGCTTCCCATTCTCCAGCACTCTGTTCTGTGACGTTCATTCGACTTTGACATCTCTGTGCTCTACCTTCTCCAGCACCCTGTTCTGTGATGTTCATTCCATTTTGACTTCTCTGTGCTCTACCTTCTCCTGTCCAGTGCTTCCCTGGCTTCCTTTCTCCCGCCACTATCAGGTAGATTTCTACTTACCTTTCCCCTTTTAGGCAGTTGGCCCCTGGATGGCAGGCAGGGTCTAGTGTCACATCTCCCTGCTCTGAACTGGTCATTCCCTATGACAGGGCAATATGCCAACCATGTGTGGTTCACTGATGGTCAAGTTTGTCTCTTTTCTTCCTTAAAAAGGTAGATGCTCTATCAGGGCTAGGGAAGGCTTTTCACATTTTTGACTGCCATAGACATGTATATTAAAGTGCTTATTAAAGTGCCTTTTAAACATAAAACTTAGGTAGACGATCTCACTGTCTCGGGTGTCTGTGAGAGCACTTAAAACAGAGCTCAGCTCATGATGGCTGGAGCAGAGCTTTCTGATTTATACTTGTGGTAACTGCAAATCACAAATCTGGAATCACAGAGTAAACATTTCTCTAGCTCCAATGTCTTCTCATCCGAGGAGGAAACAAGTCCCCCATGGGAAAACTTGCTTGTTTTATGTTTTAGGGAATTGTAAAACCAGAGCCCAAACATCAGAACTTTTGAATTTTAAACTAGTACTCTTTCCCGACTCTCATAAAGCTTGAACCTTGGGGTAATGGCACCTCCCAAATCAGAGTCCAAGTTTAGAGTAATTGCTTAAGAACAGCACAAAAGACAATGTTGTGAAACAGGCCCTGTCCTGCTGTATTGGTGGTTGCATAGTTACTACCACTGTAGTAACTTGGCAATATCTAACCAGACTTTTAAATGAACAAACTGTATAATCCAACTAATCTATTGCTAGGTATTTGCCCTCAAATAAACCTGGGTATGTGAGAAACACCTGCAATGAATGATCTGTTGGTTGCAGCAGGGTTTGCATGATTAAAAATCTAAAAACAACCTAAAAGAACATATTAAAGAAGAAGCAAGATAAGTCATACTTGTTCCTTCAGGCTGTGCAGCTGTGAATGGGAGATTGGTGTGGGAAAAAAATAGGAAAGTGTGTGCAAGATGGCTTCTTTTGTACAGGAAAAATAGGAGCCTGTCTATATAATATGTTTGTAATTGTGTAACATATTTCTGGAAGAAAGCAGATGCTGACAGTAACTTTTGCCATGGAGGAAAATTGAGGAGGGAGTTTTATTGTTTTTCTATTATACACCATTTGTTTTTGTTTTGTTTTTCAATTTTTATATGCTCGTGTGTCAGTTTTTAAGTTAAAAGAATTAGATACCAGAATGTACTCATGTGAATTAAATATTAAATATTGCGCATGTGCGCGCGCACGCGCGCGCGCACACACACACACACACAAAAGTTTAAAGAAGGCCAGATGCCAGTGTCTCACGCCTGTCATCCTAGCTACTCAGGAGGCTGACATCTGAGGATCGTGGTTCAAAGCTAGCTCAGAAAAAGCCAGAAGTAGCTCAAGTGGAAGAGCCTTCACCTTGAGTAAAAGTTCAGAGACAGTGCATAGGCTTTGAGTTCAAGCCTCCTCAGGACTGGGGGGGAAATAGTTGAAAGAGATCTTGCTGCTGCTTCCTTTGCCTTTAGCCAGATGAATAAATCTTCCCTCCCTGAGGGAGGAGCCCTGGCCAGCACCTACTTCCCTGATGCAGTGTACCCGTTTGGTAGTCATCTGCATGTTGATTCTTGCTGGTGACGGTTGACAAATTCAGTTATGACTGTGCCATCTCCATGTCCCTGAGAAGCCAAGAAGGGATCCCAAAAAAAAGAGTTGGCATCCTTCCCCTGGATGATGCAGAGCTGGGCCTCCAGCTTGTGAGAGTGAGAATCACAGTCGCTCGGGGGTGTGGCAGGCAGCCAGTAGCCCTGATCCAGCACCTCGGCACCTCTGGGCTGGGCGGACGCTGTGACCCGCCGTGGCTTCTCCCTTCTCCCTTACAGTAATTCTGAGGCCCACCGCTTTGCCAATTGTTTCCCTCTCCAACTCTGATTTAAATTCGCTTTTCTAATTTAAAAATTCCCTCCTTACAATGATGGGATTTTTAAAATTGTTGTTATAAGGGTGATGTACAGAGGGGTTACAGTGACATAAGTCAGGAAATGAATACGCTTCTTTTTGGACAATGTCACCCCTTCCCTCGCTCTCTCCCAGTTTTTCCCCTCCCGGTCCTACCTACAAGTTGTATAGTTCATTTTCAACATAGTGTCCGGTGAGTACCACCGCTGCATTTGTTCACCGTTTGTCCCTCCATTTCTGTGCCTCCCATGATTCTCTCAACAACAGACAGGACAACAAATGAACAAACAAATGAAAGGGACAAAAGAAAAGGAAAGAAAAAGCAAAAAGAAAAAAGGAAACTAAAACACCTCTTGTTCCCAAGAGGTTTTGGTTTGTTTTGTTTTTCAGATAAGGTTTCTGCTACATACACACACACACACACACACACACTCACTCACACACCCTCAGCCTTGGGCCACAATCCTTCTATCTCTGTACCCCAAGTACCTTGGATTACAGGCCTGTTCCACCACGGTGAAGTCCTGGTTTTATAAATCTCATTGCTTTGCTTTGCTTGCTCAGTTCCCTTCACAGCGGCCTACTTGCAATGTTCACACCCTTTAACCATCTGACTGAAATCCACGCCCTACTTTTCCTTCCAAGAAAGAGTCCCTTACATATTTACAAGGCTGTGTACTCACCTCTTCCTAGAAGACTTTCTCAATCCATCTGCCAGAAATTATAGGACCTGCCATTATTTTTCCTGTTTTCCATGGGTAAGGAGAAAGGGGCCAACAGAGAGGACAGTGGATTTGAGAAAGGGAGAGAGATGTCATTGTCTAGTGGTGCATTTTCCCCAGTCAGATATCCACGACACACGATGTCTTAAGCATAAGTTCCTCTATCCAGCCAAGGTTAAGCTTGGATTCTTTCCAGTACTGTGAACCAATAGACTCGCTCTTGCAGACAGCCCAGTTTGAGCTGTGTTCTCTGCCATTTGCAACCAAGGGAACCTTGATTCCATCTACTGTCAGCCACTCACTGTCTCCCTTGACTTTTAGTCAAGACTGTCGACCTCTATAGGTCATTCATTCATGTTATAAGATAAACCTTCCCCCTCTCTCCCCACCAATCCCTTGAAAGCTCTCAGTAAAAATCAAGATTGCTCGGCAAGGCAATGAGTTCTTTATTAATGTTAACAATCACCAAGTCATGCCTCAAGATCGTGGAGCAGCAAAAGCACTTCATTTACCTGACTCTGTATTCGGGGGGAAAATTTTCTTGCTCAATGAGTTAATTGCTCATATCAGGAACTTCTTGAGAAACGGACTTAAAAGAATATAAAACAGAAACTGATTTAAAAGAACATGAAACACTCGAATATTTCAATATATAACATCAGAAGACTATACCCCAGGTCTCTCCCAAGCCTTTGCCTGTAAACCCTTAACTTACCATCGCCACTAATCCTAGATAATTGTCTCATGATCCTTACCCAATCTTAATCAAGCTCCTGCCTTGAAAAAACCACCCTGAACTAACCCAAAAGCCAGACAGATCTCTAAAGATCTGACTTAGACCTTCACAATCTTAGACCTGTCAGACTATCAAGGCAATGATCAACTCACATGGGTTGCTCTACATGTTTATTTAGTGGTGTTTTTAAGGAACAAGCATTTGAGAAGAAAAAGAAGTAATTAACCATGAATCTGAGCTTCTTGAGTAAGTATTCGGTGTGTATGTGGGAGTGTAGGAGTGTATATGTGTTTGTGTATGTGTGTTTCTGTATGTGTGTGTGTCTATGAGTGTGGGAGTTTATGTATGTGTGACTGTATAGATGTGTTTGTACATATGTGTGAATGTGAGTGTGTATGTCTGTACACAGACATGCTGTCAGGCACTGTGTGAAGAAAGTGAGATCCAATTGGAAGCTGTCTTTGGAACCCTGTGGACTTCACATCTGTTTGTTGTCTCATTTGTCTGGCCTCCATCTGCATGGGTCTGTTTCCTTGAGTCATCACCCAAGATGGAAAGTGTGCTTGTCTTCTTTTGCTTCTGTAGCTGCCAAGGTCACCTTGTCAGTGTAGAGTCCTGGGCCTGCCACACACTGGCTCCAGTGCTTCAGAAGAATGTCATAAGCTGAACTTTAAAATGCAGGGAGCGTTGTGTGTTAGCTCAGGGTTCTTCAGAGTAAAGAGAGAGATTTCTTTTAAGAAATTAGCTCACATGGTTGTTAGTGGCTTGACATGTAAGATTTCAGGGTTTGGAAGCACTACCCTTTAGCACAGAAGCTAACAGTTAGTTCACTTCTTATTCAGAGAAGCCACTCTTCCAGAAGGCTTGCCTCTTTCTGTTTGGCCTAGCATCACTGGTGTCTAGTGCTTTGGATCCCAGCTTTGTACATCACCATCAATCCTTCTGAATCTGAGCCAGTCTCTTATACGTCAGGGTCTAACAGTGAAAGATAAATCCAGTGACCTCTGGTGTCCTCTTGTTGGATGACAAGAACTTCCCCCTTTAGGAAAGCTAGAGGGAAATACCAAGCAACCAAACTGGTATTGAACATGTGTAATCAGGGAGACAATGGCCAGGATATGGAACCGCTCTGTCCCCTAAGCCTCTAGGGCAGAGTCCAGTCAGCTTCTCATGAAAAATGGCAGTGATTCATCAGCTTCCGTCAGGTTCCCCGAGCCCTGGGAGTAGTAGCTGCTGTTGTGAAAGGAAATGGGATTTTGCATAAGCCTGGAACACTCAATGTCCTAACTCAAGAATGGGTGTTAGGCTTTCCTGAGCCAACACTGCTAAAGCCAACGGAGCCACAGGAGACCCTGAACATTTTATCACCATCACCATCCTCCTCCTCCTCCTCCTCCTCATCACATTTCTGAATATCCCACATTAGTGGACTAATACGTTCATTAATTCATTCATTCTTTCTTTCTTTCATTCATTCATCCAGCTGCTAATCTGTGATGACACCACATAAATTGTCTTGATCTGAGGAGAACATGCTAACAGGCAAGCGTGTCATGTTAGCACAGGAGAGACTTCCTGAGAAAGCAATGTTTGGGCTGAGTCCTGAGGGGTGAATATGTAGTCATGAGGCATCAGGGAATAGAGCTGCAGCCAGGGAGAGCAGCACAGGGAAAGGACCAAATCTGAGAGGAAAGGATACAAAAAGGAAAAATTAGAGGGAAAAACCCCCAGGAGCAGAAGATGTTCAATGGGAGGTCAGTGAAGAAGGTTAAGGGAGTGTTGAGGATGAGTGCAGAGAGCTAACTTAGCTCCTAGTAAACATCATTGGAATTTGGAAGAAAAGTGAACATACAACCACAATGCACCATCTCCTCCCATCCTCCAGGCTGGTTAAATGGGAAAGATGGACAATGCCAAAGTATTGACGATGCGGAGCCACAGGAATTCTCACATCTGGGAGCATATGTATTTTGACAGACACTTTGGAACTTTTGCTGTGGCAACTGCTAATATTGAGCATATGCATAAGGTATGATCGATGCCTGAGCCATCAGCTCCTTTGACACACCCAGTAAAAACATACACACATGCTCACTAGGAGGCCTGTATGAGAATGTAACAGCAGTGTCCTCATTAGCTCATTAACTTGTTATTCATTATCACATCATCAACTGATCTTTACAGATGTCAGTATACTTGTCAGCAGTTATTACAATGTATTATTTTATTGTTACTTGCTAGGATTCAGTTAGTAAGTTATTCATTAAGTTATCCAAATTTCCACTAACAGAATAGATACACAAAGTATAATGCATTCACACAAGGAAATATAATATGTCGTTAAGAGTGAGGTGATTATTACAGGAACAAAGTTTACAAGCATACTGGGCAAACTCAGTGAAATACAAGAATACACGTTTATATAAAGATCAGAAGAGACATACTTTCTCTGTGGTATGGGAACATAGGATTTGCTTATACTGTTAAGAGATGCGGCTAACTAATGTGCTTATCCTGGGCAATAATAAATATACTGGTCCTTTTTTTCTAGTTTTGTTTACATTTAGTTGAAACAGTAGTAATTATATATAGTTATTGTATATCATGTGATTATTTTCTATATTAAAACATTGCAAAATGAGAAAATCAAGCTATTAATATGTCTATTGACTACAATACTTTGTAGTCAATGATGAAAATATTTAAAATTCTTTCTTCTAGTTGTTATGAAATATACAGCATCTCATAATTGGATAGTCACTTGCTATACACTAAAACATCAGAAAGTATTCTTTCTTCTATCTAGCTGTAATTTTGTACCCATTCACCAAGCCCTCACCACCTGCATGCCCTCCTAAGCCTCTGGTAATTAACTAGTTAACTAATTAATTAATTGGTAATTAATGAACTAACATTCTACTCTCCACTTGTATACATTTGAATTTTATAAGTTTAGATGTAAGTATGATCTGCATTTGTCTTTCTATGTTTGCCTTATTTCACTTAACAGGATGGCTCCTAGGTTTATCTGTGGTGTCACAAATGATGAGATTTCCTGGATTTTAAAAGGCCCAATCATGTTCCGTTGTGTAAACAAGGAAAAACCATATTTTGTAAATCCATTCATCCATTAATGGACACTTAGGCTGACTCGATATCTTGGTCACCGTGAACAATATAATAGGGAGCTGGAAGTAAAGGCTCTCTGTCCCTCTGTCTCTTGGGTCCATTCCCGCTACTGGGATTGATGGGTCATATTTTAGTCTTTCAGAGAACCCCTATACTATTTGTCACAATGGCTGAAATAATTTACATGACTAACTCCACATCTTCGCCAACTATCATTATCTTTGTCATTAATAGGCAGGAGGTTGTCTTATTGTGGTTTTAATTTGTGTTTCCTTGATAATTAGCTATGGCTAACATCAGTTAGCCATTGTATGCTTGAAAATGTATATTTAAGTCCATTGTCCACTTTTTAAAACAAATCATGATCTTTAAGTAGTTGTATGAAAGAGATGCCATTTAACAAAGCAGTTCGTAAATACAATGTATCTTGATCAGTGTCACCATCCTCAACATTCTCACCTCCCTTCCACCCACCCCTTCCCTTATTTTTCTTAATTTTGAGGCATAGACAATGAACTGTATTCCACCCTCTTCCCCTGCATGTATCCATTTCCTGCTCCTGATATTGTTAGATTTTTATCAAGCTTTTCTAAAAATTATACTATTTAAGCTCTCCATAGAGTCTATTATACTTCAGTTAATTCATTTGTAACCACTTGCATACCACCCAATGTGTTCACTTATAGATTTATAGTCACGGTCTACCTCCTACAAATGAGGGAAATCATGCAAGCTTTCTTTCTCTGGGTGTGGCTTACATCACTTAATATATTTTCCCCCAAGTCTTTACATTTCCTTATGCCATTGGCCATTTCTAACAGGGTTATTTTGTCTTCTTGTTATCTAGTAATTTGTATTCTTATTTTGGAGGGAATTTTCCCCCTTATTCATGTATAATTTGTAAATATCTTCTCCACATCTGTGGTTGTCTCTTCATTCTACAAATTGTTTCCTTCGCTGTGCAGAAAATTTTTATCTTGATA